AAAAGTTGGGTGGTTTTGGGTTGTTTGATAGTATAACTAGGCTAAGATTGAAATTACAAGAAAATTGCATGAACACCGAGAAAGAAAAAGAAAGTGAAGGAAAAATAAATGTGAAAAATCCTTTAAATTCTATATTTGGGTAACATGGATACTAACAAGATTTTACTCTCAATATAAAAAACAAAAATGCTCTCAATTTATCAATCGCCTTAAAATAAATCACGAACTTAAAGTTCTGAATATTTGAGATCCCGTAAAAAAATTTAAATAGAGCGTCCAAATTGATGAGCAACAAATTTTATTTTCTGTTTGAAAAATATCAACAATTACTGTTACGTACATAAATATGATTCTTTCCCCTTCATTAAATACTTTATGCTTAAATATACAGCCTTTCAGAACGAGGGAAAACGATCTCTGGTTTGATCGTACACGTAGCTATGATTTTCTTACTACCAGATCGATCCCAGCTGAAATACTTATTGGACAATTCATTTTCAAAACAAAAGAAAGACAAAATGTAAGAAAAATGACTCAAACGGGGAAAATGAATATATAATTGACAATGTATGACCGTATCAACACTCATTGTCTTTAGTCGGTACTTTATTTGTGGTAAAAGTAAAATACATATTTTTATTTTGTAAATTCATAATTAGGTATTCAATAATTTTTGTTTATTTCACCGAGACAATCATACATATATAGTTCACCAGGCACCAACACATGATAAGGGTGATTTCCGCCTCTGCCTTAAAATAATAGTTAAAAAATAGAGAATAATATTGGTTTTAAAATTCATATTATTATTAGACGAAGAGAATAATATGCATAAAATTTGTGCATGCATGGTCTGATCAGTTGCCATCATCAAAGTTACGCCAAGGCCGAGTATTGGCGATATGAAAAGTAAGATTGTGGACGACAAGAAGACATGAAAGTAGATCAACTGGAACAGTTATGCTGCCGGTGGAAGGCAGAGCCCTACATCCGTCGGCAGGAAGCCGAACGGTAACTCTGCAAGAGAGGGCGCCGGGTATTAGGGAGGAAATAATGCCTGTTAAGTTAGTGATGAACATCTCAAATTCGCTTGTGGAATTAGTTTTAACACTTCGGAGGATTTCCGGAGATCCATTGCATGTTAAAGTAACATTTACCCCCGGAGCCGGTGCGCTGGGACGGTTACCGGTTAAGGTGCATGCAAGGTTCCCTCTAATTACGATCCCTGCGGTGTTAAGAAGGCCATTCCGAAGAACTGAATTGGCTGATGGAGCTCCGGCTATAAGAGCAAAAACAAGGAGGAGGAGCAAGCTGGTCTTATTCCTAGTTATTTTAATAGCACGGTAGAAGTTGGTGTTGATGAAATGTAGAGGGATTCGTAATAAATCTCTTTTTATAGATGGGATGATGAATAAGTTTGGCATTCTATGGGGAGCTACACTATGGCTAAGAGGACTATTCAAATGGTGCTACCTATTTTTCTCATGTGAGAGATATGGAAGACTCACAACAAAATGCTGTATGAAAGAACCAAATTTTGCTCGGATACTCTCATGAAAAATGTAACTGCTCACATATCGAACTTGATGAATGTCCACAAACTTCAAGCACAAACATTTGATGAGAAGTAAAGTCCAGAAAGAATTTTCCATGCAAAAGTTTCAGCTCCAAAGGTAAAAAAAATTAGTTCCTTTAAATGGCACCTACCAGAGCCAGGAGAGACAACTTTGAATATGGATGGATCAGTACTAGGCCAACATGGCGAAGCTGGCTGGGGATATGTGCTGCAAGGAGAAAGAGGTAAATTCATAAAAGTGTACTGTAAATATATGGGGCAAGCCTTGAGTTTTGAAATAGAGATAGAAGCCATTCGACATGGATTAAAGGCTTGTGAGGCGAGTCAAATATCTTTAGTGGTACTCCAAACAGATAACAAGACAATAATGCAAATTCTCGGGAAAATGACGGGTTTATCCTGACACTATAATGGAAAACTTCGACAGATAAGACAAATGTTGTTCGCTTGAAATTCAAGAATAGTTCATATCTATCGTGAAGCAAATAGCATGGCGGATGCTTTAGCAAAACTTTCTTCCAGAAGTTTAACCACTCAATATGACTCGCAAGAGGATCTTCAAATTTTATTGCGAGTCATGTAGTTTTTAGATAAATGTTCTTTTTCTTACTTAAGGATAAGGTAGCTTTTGAATATCATGTAATAGATAAGTAAGCTTAGACTAGGGAAAAATGAGAAGCCATCGGGTATATGTTTAATCTTTGTAAGATTATCTCTTAACTATATCTTTTTCTTTTCGTTCCATTCAGGATGCCATGGGATTATAGTACAATCTTTATAAAGCATTCTCTTTTTTTTTTGAAAGGTACCTGTATATTAATTAAGAAGTACCTGATCTATTAAAGCATTCTCTTATATTTAGAAACAGAACTGTCATGGGTTCTTAGAAAAATCTTGTACGACAGACTTTTTCTTTTGGGTGAGTCTTAAGTGCTGCCTGTGTAATCTTTTTTTAAAAATATTAATAAAATCGGGGGATACCCGCCAGGTACCGTCCTGGTTCTCTTAAATAAAAAAAAAGATGGGATGATGAATAAATTAAACTCATTTTCTTTTGGATTTGTTGAACATCAACTGCATTTTTCTACTATACGTGTAGAATAACGTCATTGTACACGAGTAATAATATATTCACATATGAAAATGTCTAGATTAAAAATATCACTTGTAATATTTACAAGAAATGGTGTAGATCGAATAACTAAACCCTATGTTCACATGTTATCTCGGGAATATTTTTGCATTCATTTGAAGTTAAGCGAATATCTCATATTCGAGCATATGATTTCATTATGGTTTGAAGGTAAGCGAATATCTCATATTCATGCACTTCTCATTAAGATCTATTGGTTTAGGTTTTAGATGCCTAATTTTCTTTGTGCCTTAAATAGATAGCTCCAATATGGTGAATGTATACATACGTGTCCGTTCATTAGCATATATGTGTATTGATGCACGTAGAATCCGGGTTAAAAAAATAAATAAATTACCCTACGATTGGCATGCATATACCTTATTGATTTTAGGGTAACAGACAATATGCAAGTATAAGAAGGTGTTTTAGTTTCATGGAAACATGGCCCGCCAAACATATAGTATCTCGTCTAATTAATCAAACTTATTGTAGCTTTACCTTCCATAAATTAATCTACTTCAAGAGAAATACTTCTCCTAATCCTTTTTCTATATCATGTATAATTTTTGAACTAATAAGTTAGTTTACTTTTGAACTATGCCTTACGAATAATATAAACCGTGTAGAGAAATGCCTAGAATGTATACAAAAAATGATAAATTCTTTTAACTCTCCGTAGCACATTACATAACTTTTATTAGTCAACTTTCCATTTTGAAGTGTAAATAGAGGAAATTAAGAAAATTTCCAAAATTAGGTACGGTTTTCGGTTCTAAATGCATATATTGGTAAAACTTCTCATAATCATACATTCGAAACAAAATATAGCATCAATGACTCCTATTTGCTTAAATTTGATAAAGTAAGCTTACATTTATATGGTGCAGTCTGATACAATTGAGGAGATGTGCTAATTTACGGGAAAGAGAAAAAGATACATGGTGTCCAAAAACCTAACATCTAGGGCTCTGTGATATACTCGTTTCCATCCAGCGATGCCTTTTTCACAAAAATTTTCCGCGCCTAAAATTCATTATTGTACTCTCTCCATCTCATAATTATTGTTCAGTTTGAGTTTTCATTTCTAGTTCAAATTGTACTAAAAGTGAAATATCAAATTGGACAATAATTTTGGGACTGAGAGAGTAGCATATAAGATTTTAATAAGGAAGGATGCTTAGCTTACATTAAGTTTTTGATTATTAGCTGAATGTGACATAAGAATCTAACATATCAATGGAGAATTCTCTATTATTTTTACGGTTCCATGAATGTTTTAATTTGAACTCTCAGATATTTTAAAGATTTCAATTCCTACGGTATCATTATCACTTTGACTCTTCGCATAAATTCTTGTAGAAGACTAAAAGTATGTAAAGGAAGGAGATAATTAAGTTCTTGTCGACTTAGGCTTCTTTTGTCTAGCTTGGATCAAATTCTGATGCTGTAGTCCGTCATCTCTTTCATTAATACAAGTATATTAGCAAATTTAAGAGTAAGTAATTTTCATCATTTGATTAAATATATTCCAGACAGATATATAATATAAAACTCAAACGATTGACAATCCCTCTCAAGTTCGTCGCATCCAGTTTACAATAGTAAAAGCTTGTAGGGAGATCTTTGGAAAGCCGCGGTCAGTGTCGTTTCTAGAAACACACATCAATAATAAAAGAAAACTGGAATTAAAAATGATTTGAGATGATTCAACTAAACTGATATTGAGTTATTCTCACCAGCTTCTCGTGGTAGCTAGGAAAATCACAGGGAAAGAGATAATATATATTTTGTAGTATTTGAGGAAAAGATTCATTCAATTTATGTTTACTATTGATACAAGAACCTTGGATTGTTACATTAATTTATAATTCTACGCTATTTCGAGTTTACGACTATATGTCGATAAGATCTTCCACTTATAAACTACGACATTCATTTCAATTCTTTTTTCGCGTACTCCAATATCCATGAGGAGAACGGATCTATATATCTTTGAACACTACATAATTTTTCTATACATAACTCGTAAACTAGCATAAGAGGAGAAAGATGTTGCGTCCATGAACAATTGATTTAACATTTCCTCGATACATTCACATACATTAACGAAAAAGGAAATGTGATCTTATACCGGTAGTAATGTTTTGCGTCGACTTTTAAAAAGTTTAAGAATAGAATCAAATTAGAGTGGGATTGGTGAAAATGACGGTAGGTTTGTGAGCTTTATTGCATAAAAAAGAATAAATAACTTAACCACAAGGCAAGGGTTAACATTGTTAACACTCATCATTTTGTTATAAAGAAAATTTTTATTTTTATACTGTTATTAAAGTTGTGACTAATAGAGTGTCACGTTTACACACATATGGATGAATATATAGACCAATATTCCATTCTAGGTATTGCTCATTCATTCTAGTACACGCGAAAGGTACGTAATTTTATTGTATCTATCCTGAACTGATAGCCTAAAATTATAAAACTAAAATAGTTTCATAAAATCGGACTATTGTCAGACGACGGAGATCATAGTACGTATCAGTAGATCATCAACCAATAACAACAAAAGGACCAGCAATCCCAAGAGCAGTTCCGAGTGCAACATTGGTATCAACAACATTTAAAATAACAGCCGTAAGTCTGAGCGGAGCAGTGAGATTCACGACGGCCAAATCAAGGAGACGAACCGTGGCACTGACGTCGATCGGAATCAAGCCGCCTGAACCGACGTTGATGGGAGTTAAGTTAGTGGTTACCAAGTTAATTATGCCCGGGACGAGTCTATTAGCTCGTGCGAGGACTGAACCGTTTCGTGTCAGCGAAACATTCGCCTCGAGAATCGGACCCAAGAGACCGAGGTTGATCGGAAGCGAGGCTTCCACCAGGAGAATGCCTACGTCGAGATTCACGGATACTGAATCCGCCGAAGGAGCCACGACGGCGATGAGCACTATAGCCAGAAGAAGAAGAAAGTTGCTTTTGTTATTGGCCATATCGATAAGAGGATAACAGCGGGATGAAATTAGGTTTGGAATATGGTTTAAAATATATGCTTAAGAATATAATATTTGCTATTTGAGATGGTGGAGATATGAAGAAGGATTAAACCAATATTTATACAACAAATAGTTGCTTTTAGGCTGCCCATGTCATTTACTTTACGTCATACTTAGGTAATGATAAAAAAGTAACACATTTTATTCTTCAGTAATACTTAATACACTTAACTAATGAAAAATCTAAGAAAATGAATCATGTGGAATGTGGACTATGTCATAGGCTGTTCATATTTATGTTAGGGAGTTTCGACTTTTTTTAATTATTATTTTGATTTTGGAAAAGAAAATTAGTTACATTACCATTTTCGGTAAAGCATGTTCATTTATTATTTTTCTTACCCGGTTTAGAAAGTTATAGATCGTAACACCTTGCTAAGGTAGCTAGTGAACAAAAACGATTTCTCTCCACTCTTATAAATTCCAGGTTGCAAAATTCTAAGATTACGCCTAACACTTTGAATTGTAGTTTTACCATAAGCGTTTAATTATTATGGTCATGACGACTTACTTCATTTAAAAGCTTCTAATAGTAGAGTAAAATTTCATACATTCATGAAAATTTTTGGACTAATTAAACATATCTCTAATTTCCCATGGAACCAAAAAAAGCTGATTTGTCTATATTAATTATGTCTTATGAAATGAGTAACACATACTTTCTCGTTTCAAGAAAAATATCCCCATTTGTATATTGTATGACTACATATAACAAAAATATATATATAAAAATTGTTGATTATTTCCTTGGAACGGAATAGTACTTTTTTGTCTTAGTATCAACACACTTAGTTAATTAAAAATCTAAGTAAGAAATCATAGGAGGTCGACTAAATCATAGGACGTTTAGACTTTATCTTACTGATAGGAAATGTGGACTTTTTTTATTGTCCTATTCTTAACGAAGATTAGTTACCTTACCATTTTCGGTAAGGAAACTTCACTTCATAATTTTTCTTACCTGGTTTAGAAAGTTATGGATCGGACCACCATCCAAAGTTAGCTAGTACACTAAAACGATTTCTCTAATTCTTATCAATTCCAGGTATCAAAATTCTAAGATTATGCCTAACAATTTGAATTATAGCTTCACTCTATACGTTTAAATAGTGGTGACGACTTACTCAATTTAAAAAGTTATAATATTACAGTAAAATTTATGTGTTCGCAAAAATTTTCAACTGTTTGGGATTTTGTGGACTTGTACCGAGATTCATTAAGGCCTACATGCAGCCAGCAGAAGGCTCTGATCTTGAACCTAACTATTAATTGTCATAGACCCGTTGATTCTGTGAATATCAGTAAATAGAACCTTTCTAAACACCGTTGATTCGACGAACGAATTCCAGTGATCTAAGGTATAAAAAATTCCACCAACAAATGGAGCATGAAATTTAGCAAAGAGAATAAATTTAATTTCGTCCTTCATCACCCACTCAAGAATCGAACTGTGTTCTGATAGTTAGCGCGTTGTACTAAGAAAGAGAATTTCATTTTTAAAGCGAATGCGAGAAGCAAGTTCGATGGACAATCAGGAGGTCTGCATCGATCACGGAGTATGAGACACACCATATGTGAATGAAGTCTCATGAAAAAGGACTTGTGTAAAACATTCACAATATAGACATTGTGTAGTCGTTCCTGTCTTTATTATGAGGCATTTTAATTTAAGATTTTTTTTTAATTGGAAAAAACGTATTAGGTAAAACCTAAAACAAATCAAACTAATAAGAACTGGAGAGAGTATATCAAATAATTTCTTGTAAATACCAAGTTTACTTTATTTTATAACATTTGTCATTGATTAATATAGCAATCGCACAAGTAACACTGCCGACATTATTGAGCTCAATTGTGTTAGCACAGACTAGACAGACAAAACGTCGAATAAAAGAATCTCTAGGCCGAACCTGAACCTCAGCAATGATCGGAGTGGCGTTGTCTAAACCGATGCTGAAAACAACTAATTTGTCGCTAAACATTGTGGACTCTGTGGACTGAAATGTCTTTCACTTATTTTCAAGTTCGAAGTGATTTTAACAAGGTGAGACGGGTATAGTTTTGGTGTGGTTAAGTTATTTTTTTACACGTTCTCATTTTGTTGTGGTCTTCATAAAGGTCTCCTCTCTTTTCTCTCTTCCCTTTCCTCACAAGGCCAGCGATCCGCCACCGGCCATAGGCCCAACACCCCCTCAAAAACCTTCATTTGCTCAGATTCTAGGCTCTAATTCAAACCCAAAAACGTTATACAACCATTCCACAAAAAATCAAATTCCAAATCCACCCGTGTTTCTCTCAAAACCAACATTATTCAAAGGAGAGCCAAGTTTTCTTCTTATAAAAGTAGAAGATGAGCAATTGGCAGCCCCATTTCAACTTGCCCTAGTATGAAAATTCACCAAAGGTAGGCAAAACATGAATTATTTGCGGAATGAATTCCAAATCAATGGATTCAAAAGGAATTTTTCAATTGGATCGATTGATTACGGGCATATTCTCGTATGTTTTGATCTAGAAGAGGACTTTCATCGTTGCTGGCAAAAAGGGTTGTGGATCTTTGACAAGCATCAGATGCGTGTCTTGAAATGGACTACTGACTTTAATCCAGCATATGAAAGTTCCATAGTTCCAGTTTGGATCTCTTTGAAAGGTCTCCCCATCCATCGCTTCAACAAAGACTATTTTTGGAAGCTTGCTAGCATCACAGGGACTCCTCTTCAAATTGATGTGCCAACCCTCAATATGTCGCGACCTTCGGTGGCTCGTGTATGTGTAGACATAGACCTCCTAAAAGAACATCCCATTCGCATCAGACTGGGAGTTGAAAGGAAGTCTTATTTTCAACCAATCTACTATGAAAACATGCCACAGTATTGTGTTGATTGTAAAAAAATAGACCATAAACATCATTTCTATCGACACAATACAAAAGCATCATAATCACAAAAACTAGAATTGCATTCCTCAAAGCAACAAGCAAAACAACAATCACCGTCGATTCTCCCCCACCAATGTTGAGAAGAACCCGCTGCTCAAAGTTACTGCTGCTGACGGAGATCCGACACCTCCTAATGTTGATCGGATGGTGTTGTAAGCTATTGAAGTGGATACATCTGTCGATGCATTGCCGTGGTGGCAAGAAGATGTCATCGCGCCTATTGCAAAAACCCTAGTCGTACCCCCCTGCAAAATTTCTTGTGCGCCAAAAGCATCAATTCCGCGGCCTGTGAAAACCCTCGAGGGCTCAACTTCAGGATTGACAACGATGGAGAAGATTGCCATTCCAGTAGACATTTCAGACAGCCCTCCACTCCCCTTAATCTCAGAACAAATGGAACTTGAAGACACGCCTCTGCGATCTATTAAAGCCACCGCTGAAATTGAGAATTCCGCGCCCTCCCCAAATCAGCGTGAATCTGCTTTTCGCAATCAACGTGACTCCGTGATTGGCCACTGCTGCAGAGACTCTCCATCCTTCTTCAGCATTGACGTCTGCTACCAGTAACAGTGGGACATCATCATCATCATCGGAGGAAATCCGGTGGAAAACTCCCTGATATTGCACCCATCTTCTATGCAACAAAATCCCGTAAAATTTGCGGTTAACCCGGCTCCCTTGATTTTGATTGAAATTAAGACGCAATCAGCTTCTGTGGACTCAAAATCTTCTCCATCAAACAAGGGAGGAATATGTTCCCCAAATATCTCTAGTAACCGCTTCATCCAAAAGTTAAATTCCGGTGCTCCAGAATTTACCTTTTCTCCTCAACCGCAAATTCCTCTACTACAGATTTTACTACCTATTATGGCCCCAAAACCATACTTTTCCAAAGATGATACTGAGGTAGGGATGAATACAGAGTCTCTCAATACAGATTTCTTAATTGAAGACATTAATTTTGAAGGTGGCTATAATCATGTTTGCAATGGATCAGAAAATGATGACTTTGACATGGAACGAGCAATGGAACAGGAATATTTCTACAGTGAAGTTTCGCTATTCCAAAACAAAATCGAAGGAAAATAAAAACAAATCGAAGTCAAGTGAACGAATTCGCCGCTCTTCTAGATTAAATGAGAATGCCTAGTTTTCTTTTAATTAAATTGTACTTTTATCGGGTTTAGTATATTCGCTACCATATTTTTCATTATTTAATATAATTTCAGTTTGAAAAAATGTTTTTGAGCGTTGGGGATTAAAAAAGAAAAACAGGTTCTCATTTTGTTTAGTTATTCATCAAAACAAAAGTAGTATGCTACTCAATGAATTTTTTTCGAAACAATACTTATAATAATGATTGATAGTTACATTTTGATACACTTAAGCATGATCGACTTTAGGGGGTGATAGCTAGGTATATATGACGGGTTATGATTTAATCTATATTAATGCTTATAGGTTTTGTAAGACTTTTCTATGCATATAGTTAATATGATATAGTTACCGATTTTGCATGTATTTCATCTTTCCCAAACCAATTGTATAGCTTGAATTTTACCCGTTACAATAATTTATATTAAATTTTAAAATCTAAAATGAATAATCATTTCGGAATTGTGAAAAATTACAATTTGAAGAATCTCAGTTTATGAACAGTGATAATCTCATTGTTCTTAAGTTAAATCATCAACTTGTCAATAATTTTTTTAAAAAATATCTTGGACGAACACGTACCACATGCTTGAACTTGGTTGTTTTGACAAGAGCAGTCAGACATTTTTCATTATTGTCAAAAATATAGCTTATATTCTTTTTGTTTTGTTAAACTGTGAAATTTTGATTACTTCATGACCAAGGCATTTACAAGATTATTCTGTACAATTCAAGTGTATTCATATACTCTCTTAGAACTGGATATCATCACCACTACATTTCTAAATTTGTACAAAAATAACCATCTTATTTCAGCTTGCATTTGTCCAAATATGCTTCTTGCATCTTGTATTCTGGTAGCAAACTTCCAGGAGTTCCTTTCTGTCCAAATGTGATGTACTGCTGCATTAATACAAGCAAGCAGCTCA